GAAAAGACTTTATCTTACGATGAATTCTGTTCGTAGTCTTTAGCTGCAAACAGTCCCCATCCGTAATCTCCTTTTTTACAACTAAAGAGGAATGATGCCTCTACCCACATTGACCTAATGTGGCGTCTCAGCATGTGGAAGTCTTTTTGTTGCATCGCAGGAAAATCGGGCAGGTCAGCTGGACGAGCTGAGCATTTCCTCAAAGGCAGATCAAGAAGGGCATGTGCGAGAAACATTTCATAGTGCCATAGATCATTGAGTTGTCTGGTACTCATAACATATCCACATTTCTCAGCCATATCTCTAATAAAAGCTAGTAAACAGACACCGGTAAACAAGTTGGTAAACAAACGTCACATGGAATTTTTACTTTAATTTAGAAGCTTTAATCGGTAAACAACAGCCAGTCGGTGTGCTGTTCTCTCGTCAGACGGTCGCCTGTATATTTAGTTTCCTGCCTGCCTGCATGCTGCCTGTCTCTAGAGTAGTCGACCAGGCAGGTTGTGCGGGTGGCAGGTTTCCTCTTTAAGTTAGTATGGCTGTGGTGTGTCAATTGTCAATGTGTACCCTCAAGCAAGGGAAAAGAAATTTAAATTTGTTATTATTACAAGAAAGTAAGCAAGGAGAGTTCTAGAATGTTCACATCTTTTTGGCATCAATGTTGGCATAACTGCTACATATGGACCAAAACCAAACCAAAGAGAAACAATAACAATAACAAACAACAAGCGAGGCCGAGGCTGAGTTACTTGGAAGGAATAATGATAAATAAATGATAAATAAATACAACCATGGAGCCCATCGTTCGTGTCAGTATAAGTAATGACTGTGAGTGGGAAACTCAATTCATTCCCTGGCTAGAAGAGAAGGAGAAGAACAACGTGGGTGTTGAAGACGGTGTATTTGTTGTATGTTTCCTAACCTATGCGCGACGAGTGGCCTTACATATTTACCACTAATAAATAAGTAACAATCAATTTTTATATTGATTTTCCTCTTTCATTGCAGGCAACTGTAGACCCGGCCCTGCGACACCTTCAACCAGGTGAAGAAGACAATTTTCTTACATATTGCATTGACAAGAAGCTTACTCAAGTGTCAAGTCTGAGGCTGAGACAGTACATTCAGGAAGGGATTTATGAATTCCAGTGTAAGAATTATGATGTTGATTCTTTCAAGACTTATCTTAGTAACCTGGACTCCTTCAAAACCAACAATTGTTGGTACGTTTTGGCCCTTTTTTTTTCTTGTGTGGTTTTGGCTTCTAATTTATAATATTCTTGTAATGATGTCTTAATATCTACACCTTTGGCAGCACACCATTTCTGGAACAAGATGATGGTTATCTGAGTAACCTTTTCAACCACCTGCATTCTGAGCTGAATAGAATAATAAGCTTTGCCGAAAGTAGAGATAAGTCCGGAAGTTCAAGGAGCAAAGTACTGGTAGAGGAATCTGCTTGTGAAATGGAACAGTTGTACAATAAACACAGGCAGAATACTGATAGTTTTAGCTGGGGGAAAAAACAGAAGAAAGATGTGGAATATTGCCCTGACATGGAGTGTTTAATGTTTCCTCCAGAGACCTCTAAAAAGGGGAAAAGCAGCCAAATATATGAAAACATTGGTGAATTAATATGCTATGGTTATGGTTTTGAGAAGTCTGGTGATAGCCTTCAGATAACACCAAAATTAAACATGTCTCGAATTTTTAACTTACTTTGGCTTCTTCCTCGGCAATATCCGGGTTTACACTCGAGCTATCTTTATTTTGGAGATTCCCATGCCTTCTTTCCAGTCCATTTAGAAGATGCCTTGACATTGTCATTGAACTTCCTCCACATTGGGAAGCCAAAAGTATGGTAAGTTATTAACTTTTTTACTTCAAATTGTCTCAGGTTTCCCTTTGTCAGGGAACATTACATTTGAAATTCTGAAAGTAGCAAATAACTGTACTCAGACTTGATAGAATTTGAATTTGTTCAGAAGAATGAGAATCTTAATAGAGCTGTGATGTCGTGCCACATTTATATCTTTTCATTTCACTAAACATGGTGTTCCTTTTTCCAACAGGGTCTTCATACCACCATGGGCGACAGAAGTATTGGAGTTTCACCTTCACAGGTCTACGCTTCACCTTTCTCAAACCGCATGCTCCAATGTTTTGGGACATAAGACAATCTTTCCAACTACAGACTGGCTTAAAGCACGAAACATCCCCTTCAAAGTTGTGAGTGTTCTCATGAATTCAAATAGTTATAACTTGTAAGTTAAGCTTTGTGGTGACTTCATATTGCTAGCTTAACAGTTTGATTCTTTTCTATCTTTTGGAACTTAAATGAATGTGATGTTTGAAACATTGGCATATTTCAGTTTTGGCTATGTTCTTTGTTAACTTATAACTTCTTGCTTTCCTTTAACAAGCTTGTCCAACGCCCTGGGGACCTGGTGGTGATATACCCCTACACAGCACATTTGGGCTTTAACACAGGACCCAATATTGCCCAAGCAATTAACATAGGCACAAAATCGTGGATCCCATATGGCATTAATGCTAAAAAATGCATGTGCCTGTAAGTATTGATTGTATGAAAGACCATCTGTATCTTTCAATTTATCTTTTGTGTATAGTCAGCAATTTGTCTTTCAGTGACAGACAAATACACATTGATATAGCACCATTAGTTGCTGCATTTCGTAAAGACCTGCTTGGTCCTATGAAGCGTGGGGAAATTATACCCACACCAGCCACTATTAAAGGAGTGCAGCTTCTAACCAACAGGATGCTCAATAGTCCTAATCTAGTAAGTAAAATATCGTTCAGAATGTACTTATTACAAAGTACTTATTTACAAATAGAAATTTTACCTTGTACTGTTCTTGCTTTTGTTTCAGTACAAAGACATGTTGGATGTGGAACAGTCAGTCAAGGTAAGGTGCCCAGCTCGGTCCTGCAACTTCACCACCCCCAAATTTCCTGTAGATGA